GCAATATACAAGAAATATATATATATATATTGCCAAATATTGTTGTCATATAGAAATTGAACCGAAGCTGAAGAAATATAGGCTCCAGAGGAAGTCATCTCAAAGGGGAGGTGTCATATAAGAATAAAGTGTCGCTGCCGATATTTGGGTTTGAACGCGGAACACCAGAGAGCAAGCACAGTCGACCTCATCTTGAAATAATTAGATCCCGTGACGGGTAAAGAAAAAAAGATTATATAAATAAAATATATATATATATATATATATATATATAATATATATATATATATATATATATATATATACTCAGAGTGGTAGCCCCTGTTGGGGTCTCAGCTATGGACAAATAGTGAACTCCCTTACAAATGAAAGTATAAAAATACATTTCTGTGGTAAAAATACCAGCAATACATTATTATATAGAAAATTACCAACAATACACATTTAGTAAGATTACATACATAGTAAAATTACCTACAATACATTTTACCACTAGTTGAATTGTGCTCAAAATATATATAATCGAAGCCATAAAATTGGGTTCAAAATATTTAAATTTTGACATTAAATAACCCATAGAGGTGTTGATATGCCGCTAAACAAGATTAACCGAAGCAACCTTGAGAGACAGGAGAGCCTGGTACAGTATCAGGACATTTATTATTATTATTATTATTATTATTATTATTATTATTATTATTTCCTTTGATATCTGGCGTTTACACATTTCTTTCCGGATCCCGCCCAGGGACCTAAGGTTAGAAATGGCATCATGACACTTTCCACTGTAAAAAAAAACAAAAAAAAAAACAATTACATAAAGCCCTTCGTAAAGTGTGGGCTGTACTTGTGAAAACAATTTTTTGTATCTCTTTGAGGCATGGACTTCCAGGAATCCCTTCAATTAATCTACTGGAATCTTTTTCCAACCAATCCCAGGGCTCCAACTACAACAGGGATTGTTGATGTTCCCATGTGCCACATTTTTGAGATTTCGATTTCAAGGTCCTTGTATTTTGATAGCTTTTTGAAGATCTTCAAAGATCCATTGCAGTCTGCAAGGACTGCCATATCAAAAAGGAGACATCAATTCATAACTAGTTTTAATTTCATGGTTTAATGTCTTATTATTAGTAGTATTAGTAGTAGTAGTAGTATTACTACCATATTTCCCGTATGCTAAAACGCTACATATGGTAAGACGCACCCTATAATTTCGCTATTTATTTTTTGAGACAAAAATATTTGAGGATTTAATAGTTTACCGTACTAGCAAGTCTAAGTTGCCGACTCTACTGTCTTATTTTTCTTTCTATCACAACAAATTATCACATTGTGTTCCTATTATACTGTGTAATTTGATTTTTGTCCTTGGGGAGCGACAGTTATTTCCTATTCGCTTACGCCTAGAAAGTATGAAATGTGGCTAATAGTTCCTTTGAACTTTGATTTTGTGACCAGGATAATGATATTTCTGAAATTGACCTATTCCCTTTCGGAAAACTGGCACACAAAATAGGAACAAAACGAAATATGATTCAAAAGTAGAATTTATTTATTATATGATTACACAAGAGAGACTACAAAACATTTAGAAGTGAATATTTTTTCGCGATTTGCGCTTTTATTGTAAATCACTTTCACGAATTTTCCCCGAATATAGTCTCCCATCCTGTTTTCATTAGAAATTCTTTGGTTGCCAGAACATTCCAGACATTCGAGAAACTTTAGAAACTTCTACAAAATGTATTGAAACTTCTAGAAATTTCTAGAAAATTCCCCTTCAGCAACACAGCGCTGAATCTGTCTGGAATGTAATGGAAAATACGTTAGTTTTCAAAAAGATCGATGTCGAGGTTACAAAGGTAAAACTTAAAGGGAATAAGTCATTTCCTTTGCGTTCTAGACAGAAGTATTTAGGAAATAAAACCGATCAAAGACAAAAAATCAAAATTTTCATTCACACTTTGTTTGCGCTTCTTATTAATTATATTTTCAATACTTTAGCGCAATGTTATGATTATTTATATTCGAAACCAATCGTACTTGTCACCAAAAGCCGAAAGGCGTCTCAACAGACGGTGTGTTTACACCCAACTCTCAGCTGATGCTACGGAGCTGCGTCCACGAGCGTAAACGACGGTGTGTTGTTTTCACATCGTCACTACCACAGTCCGCTATTAATGTATGGATTATATTATCGAACAACATTAATTAACATAGCAAAACAGGAGATATAATAAATGCAGTAGTTTCGCACACAGAGGCGGAGGCAGCAGTTGTCGAAAAGACACAATATACAGGTATACCTCGGGTTGCGTCGTTTCGAGTTAAGTCGTTCTCGATTATACGTCGTTTGTCAAAAAATATATGGAAAATAAAAATCAAATTTAAGTCATTTTATTCGACCTTACGTCTGTCCGCCACAAATATTGAAGTTGTAATATCACTAGAAAAGCTTTAAAAGCACTTAAAATCATGTTACTGTACAATAAATAAGAATAAAAATATATAAAATCATATTAAAATACGTACATTTATAGTAAATGTTAACCTAATCATCATGAATCCTAGTAAATTTATAAATATTAGTAAATTTAACATAAATTAGTCTATTTTCTATTATCGCAAAATAATTTTAATAACTGTATTTGTTATTTAATCTTACAAAATCATTTTATTTTATAATGTCTTAAAGCAAACCACATTCACAAATAAAGATTATGCGATGTATTGTAATGATCGCCAAATTGTAAATATCTACATTTACAAGTATTTACGTACATGTCTACGTAAATTTAGAGTAATTTTTCTGTACTATATTAAAAACTAAAATTAATTTGTTTCTAAGCTTAAAATAAATTCTTATTAACCAGATATTATTAAAAATGCATTTATAAATAAAATTCAGACCTCGGAATGGTTATTTGTGGTTTAGTCTCGTAACAAGTAAATTCGGAGACAAGTAAATTAGACAAGTAAATTTTCGACTTGAGCCGCCTCTCCTGAAACAAATTACCGACGTAAGGTGAGGTATACCTGTATATGGTATAATACTAATGGGATATACGGTATTTATTACATATGAATAATAATTGTAGCCTTATATGCCTGGGGTTTGTGATTGCTTGTATCTTGTGACAGAGGATTGCGATAATTGGTAAACTCCTCTCTACAAGTTGACCTTTCAGGGTGATTTTTAAGGCATTTAAGTTTTTTATAGGCTTAGGCTGCAATATTTACGATTGTTATTAATTCTTTCTTGGATTTCTGATGTATGCACATTTCCTTCCGGATCCCAAACAGAGACCTAAGGCCAGAAATGGCATCATGACATTTTCCACTGATCATTTTCGTAAAATAAAATCCTAAGATCACACACATTATACATAGATAAAGTCCTTCGTATTATGAGGTGTACTTGTGAATACAATGCTTTGTATTTCTTTAAGGTATGTTATCGCCATTCAATGTTGTTATTATTTTTTAACCTCTAATCAAATATCGGTTCATAATGTGATTTTTATTGTTTCTGCTTATTTAAACATATATATATATATATATATATATATATATATATATATATATATATATATATATATATATATATATATGAGGCACGGTGGTAATGGATAGCGGCTTGATTGAGGAATCGCAGAGCCGAGTTAGAATTCCAGTAGAATCCATTAAATTCAGTTACGTGCTCTGAATTCAAAACCTGCGGAGGGTCGTTTGGGGACCTTGTGGAACTTAGTGCACCAGGTCTCTGTATTCGGCCCTTCAAAAACTGTGGAGGGTCCTGAACGAAACCTTAACCATTATAATTAAATCTCATGTGCTGTTGTCGGGCTGTCGGTTTCTGTGAACTGAAACGTTTGACCTCATATGTCGATTTCGACGGGAGAGTTGAATATATATATATATATATATATATATATATATATATATATATATATATATATATATATGCTGGACCTTCCCCTTTTTAAGCCGGTCTTTTCCCTCACCCCTTACCCATCTATATCTAGAGATAACATACGTTAAGTTAAGCGGCGTCTAGCCTATACAGAGTGGGGTTAAGGATAAGGAATTGAAATGGTACATCTAACTCACTCATATCTTCTCTCCCACCTCACTTCCTCACTTCGTTAATTTTACATATGCTTGATGCAGTCCGTCAAAAATGTGTGAATTTCTTTTCATTTTTCATTTCAACCTTTGTAAGTAAAGTCTGATGATCCAGAGTCCTGTTAAAGGGGTTATGGTGAAATAACTTATTACATGGAACCTTAAAGTGGTCTGTTTTTATTCAAACATATTTGCTGTGAATTTTCATTGAGCTCTCTGGATATCATCCTCCTTGGGTCTACCCATACGGATTACCTAGTTTTGCATAAACTATATATATATATATATATATATATATATATATATATATATATATATTACAGGTTGGCAGTGACCGACCACGACTTCCAGACCACAATGAACTTGAATCCCTCCCTTTAGCCGTCCAAGGTTAGGAGCCTTGAAACAGAACAAACATACATCAATAATGGATTAAAATTCAGGGTCTTCTCGGTGATGATTGAAGGTTACTTGTTTATTTTAAGAGGTATTGAATGTTCCAAGCTAATTCCTGTCCCCATTCAGTTGTTAGAACTAAAGTCAGGAGACAGACCAGATGCAAGTGTTTGGTCATCTTAATTCCTACACTGTTATATCGAATGTATAGATATTTACTAGAGATCTGCGTATGTTCTTAGGTACATCGTTAATATGAAGCAGAAGGGGGTTCCTTAGGCAACGTCTGCATTGATCTAACGGGCTTCAAAAGACTGGCCATTAACAACGACATTCATGAGCCTACTTGTTAGGAAAAACTCTTCCAGAGTTTTCAAACCTAAAGAGTTTCTGTAGCAAACCTCCATGTCACTCCTTGTCAAAGGCCTTTGATATATCTAAAGCAATCATTCTTGTGATTAATTTATTGTCTAGTACTATATATATATATATATATATAGATAGATAGATAGATAGATAGATAGATAGATATGAACAGAATTAAATAGATATAAGCAGAATGAGATAGATAGATAGATAGATAGATAGATAGATATGAACAGAATGAGATAGATATGAACAGAATGAGATAGATAGATAGATAGATAGATAGATAGATGAAGAGAATAGGAGATAGATATGAACAGAATGATGATAGATAGATAGATAGATAGATAGATAGAGATAGATAGAACAGAATGAGATAGATAGATAGATAGATAGATAGATAGATAGAATGAGATAGATAGATAGATAGATAGATAGATAGATAGATAGATATGAACAGAATGAGATAGATACAGCCTGTATGAAGTTATCATGCAAATAAGCCTGAAGAACTCTAAAAGTTCTGAACCAACACTTCTCAAATATAAACTCGTCCATTTCCGCCCCTGAGCAAAATTAAGGGCACTTCGGCGTAGTACAATGCTTAGCAAGCTTGTCTCGCTAAAGCTGTTACGACTGAATAGTGAGTTGGATCCTCACTGGGTGTCCCACACTTTCGGCCGTGTGCCACATCTATGCAACGCTTAGAAAGTCATTCTGCCACGATTGCTGTATTTTCGAGCAATGAATCTCGAGTAAAATATTTAATTAAATTATCTGCCATTTTTAACCCTTAGTTTTTGAGATATTTGGAATTTACGAAAATGGACTGACTGAACTTAATATGCAGATTAAACTAATATTATCTTAAGACCTCGGATAATCTAATGAAAACTATTTTTCTTTTTGTCCATAATAAATGTTGAAATATGGATAAAGGGAATGATCTAACAACTGCTGATAAACAGAAAATAATAAAGTTATTGTGTTTTGGGAATGTCCTCATTGGAGATATCAAAGGAGCTTTGAATAGATCCTCGAACGATAGAAAAGACTTTTGGAAATATAAGTAAATTGGGAACTCGATGCAACGGAAAAGGTTTAAGAACTTGCTTCCACGAGGTGAATTTAAACTAAAGCAAGTTATAGCCGAACAACTACTTTTGACCAGCGCTCAGATCTTTGAAAAGGAATGAATTGAGGGAGTCAAAAAGGACAAAAAGTGGAGAAGACTTTGCGAATTGGGATCTGTAAAACAATCTCCTTGGCAACCTCCTCTCACTAAAGCAAATATTTTAAAGCATCAAAATTGGGCCAAGAAATACAGGAAAATTGACTTTCCTAAAGTAATTTTCACGGACGAATCTCGAGTGACATTTCATTGACCTGGGCGAAAGGATGGATTTTATCCAATTCAGACATGCCTATGGCTAAAAGAAGGTAACAAGAAGGCGGTAGTGTTATGATATGAGCTGGAATTATTGACCAAACCATTATTGGACCATTCAAAGTCGATGATGGAGTTAAATTGAACTGTGCTAACTATTGCAATTTTATGAACAAAACTTTCTTTGAATGCTACAAGTCAATCGCTATTCTCTGTCTTCCTGAACTCCGTTCTTTTATTGTCCTTTCTCTTCACTGAAGCCTTCTCTTTCGCTCTCAGTAACACATTGCATCATAGTGGCATTATTGCCTTGTTTGGAATGAATGATTTTTTTAAAGAAAACAATAGTTTTAAGGTGCCATATTTCTTTTCAATTCAAGATCCTTAGATTTACTTATATTGCCATATTCTTTAACGGATGTATTTCTGTCGGATGGAACTGCCATATATTTGAGTTGACATTTTTTTTGTGTGTTGTCGCTATATTTTTTTGTTTGGTCTGTTTGTATTTATATGTCGGTCAGTATAAATGGCAAAGCGCCCTAAGAATAAAGAACTTATGCTGTTCTATCAATGGTTCAGAGGGAAGTTAATACAATTTTTCATCACGTGGTAGACTGCAATTCTGATTCCTCGTCCACAGCACATTCATATGTTGGTCTTTGCGTTCCAACACTGGACACCCTGACGCTAATTGGTCAGTTGTCTCAACATGTTGTTAGCACCATTTTTATTGTGTTAGAATGGTAATTCCTGATGAATAGGTTTCGGTCTTGTATATTATTATTATTATTATTATTATTATTATTATTATTATTATTGACACAGCAAATTAATAAGTTTTCATAATAATAACAATAAAAAAGACAAGTTAAATTTTGAAGACATATAAAGATAAAAGAAGGTTTGGCGACTTTAACACTCACAAGACACGCAGAAAGAAAGAGAATGAAATAAAAGCAGCAAGTAAACATATTTAATAAGTTTATGTAAATGGTGGGAGGTAGATGTACAAAAAAGACAAAGCCGAGTTGTAAGGGAGAAAGCATCGTTTTAGAGTAACAAAGGGAAGCTGTGGAGAATTACGATCGTTCACGTTCTAATGGGACGACATACACACAGAGAGAGAGAGAGAGAGAAAGAACGGGACTTTAAAACGGCTCCTGTGTCAGCTAGTGTTTCATGTTTTCCGCCTTTTTATCAGTTCATTACACACTCGCAAGGTGACGATTCTTTTCCTTTTTGTTCAGACATTTATAAAAAAAAACCCAACTCTGAAGCATTTGCTTTCCCACACGCGCGTGCGGACCATTACGTACATGCGGGTCATGAACTCACACGTGACTCCTGCAAAATGCACATCTGCATTCCTTTTGACGCCCCCGCATAAGACAATATACGAACCTGAAAAGAAAGAAGCTCAAAAATAAATAAGAATGAATGAGCCAAAAGAAAAAGACGAAAATGAAAAGAAAGAAAGAAAGAAAGAAAGAAAGAACAGAAAAAAGAGGTGAACAGAAAGAAAGAAGGGAACGAAAAGAAAGAAATGAGCAGAATAAAAGGAAAAAATGAACATAAAGAAAGAAAGAAAGACAGAAAGAAAGAAAGAAAGAAAGAAAAGAAAGAAGACAGAAAGAGAAAGAAAGAAAGAAAGACAGAAAGAAAACTACAGAAAGAAAGACGTGAAAAGAAAGAAAGAAAAAAGAAAACTACAGAAAGAAAGAAAGAAAGAAAGAAAGAAAGAGGGAAACTACAGAAAGAAAGACGTAAAAAGAAAAAAAGAAAAAAGAAAACTACAGAAAGAAAAAGAGAAAACTACAGAAAGAAAGAAAGAAAACTACAGAAAGAAAGACGTGATAAGAAAGAAAGAAAGAAAAAGAGAAAACTACAGAAAGAAAGAAAGAAAACTACAGAAAGAAAGACGTGATAAGAAAGAAAGAAAAAGTGAAAACTACAGAAAGAAGGATGTGGGGAGAAAGAAAGAAAGAAAGAAAGAAAGAAAGAAAGAAAGAAAGAAAGAAAGAAAGAAATCTGATAAATCGAACTAAAAAGAAAGCAAAAAAAAATGTCGCCTGCCAAAATGTAGGTGTAAACTGTTTATTTGCTAATCGCAGGTGATAATGAAATTAAAAGAAATCAAAGATCGAACAAGAATGGCTGGAAATCTTGAAAGCATTTCACTCTGTGAATACGTCGCTTGCAATCTTTGTGGCATTGCGTCACGAAATTTCCATGGATTCTTTGTTTCAGCTTCCTTCAACACATTCATCTTTTCTTTACTTTTTCCACGATTACTCCCTCATCTTTCTCACCATTCTCTCATCTTTACTTTCTGTCTCTCCCATCATCCCTCATCTCACTCTGTATTTCTGATCTCCCTTTCGTCTTTTCTATTCTCCCTCTCTTTCTCTCTCTCCCTCACACACATACACACACACACACATACACTCACTCTCTCTCTCTCTCTCTCTCTCTCTCTCCCTCTCTCTCTCTCTTAATACACACACCCTGTTATATTCTTTTTATCTCTTCAAAATTTCCCCTGTTCTGAACCCCAGCAATTAATCACCATTTTTTTAATATTTCATTTATCTTTTCTTCATTGGGTTCTTTCTGGATTTTTTTATCAATTCACCCCAAGCAAGGTGATAATGCTTCTAAGACGCAAGGAGCTATTGGGAGTGAAAGAGAAAGAAAAGACTTTAGAAGGAACCGGAAACCTAATTCCAAACAGGAAATACCGGATGAACCTCTCTTCCGGTTCAAAAGACTAGGGAGGGGTATAAACCGAATTTTGCCTGATTTTGCCCTTCTCTCTCTATTATTCTCTCCTCTCTTCCTTATTCTCTCTCTCTCTCTCTTTCTCTCTCTTCTCCATCACCTTCTCTCTCTCTCATTTCCTCTTTCTATCTCCTTTCCTCACTTTTCTCTATTATCTATTCACCTTTTTCCTTCTCTCATCCTCCGTTTCATTTGTTTCTTTCTCTCTCTCTCTTTCCTTCTCTTCCTCTCTATCCTTCTCTATCACTTTCTCTCTCTCCCTTCCTCTCTCATTTCTCTCCCTACTTAACTCTTCTCATCTCTCTCTCTCTCTGTATTTCTCCTCCCCTGTCTCTTCCTTTCTCTTCTGCATCTCATTCTCTATCTTCTTTCCTCTCTTCTCTCTGTTATCTATTCACCGCTTTCCCTCTCTCATCCCCCCTCTTCATCTATTTCTTTCTCTCTCTCTCCTTCTCTGTCTCTTTCTCTCGTCCCTTATCTTCCTCTCTATCCTTCTCTCTCTTCTTCATCTCTTTCTTTCCCTCCCTTATCTTCCTTCTCTTATCTTTTCTCTTTTTTCCCTCTCTCACTATCTCTTCTCCGTCTCCTTTTACCTCCCTCCCTCTCTCTATTCATCTCTGTCTCTCTCTATATCTCTCTCTCTTATTTTAAGGCAAAAATGTCACTTTATAAGCTGAAGCATTTTGTTGTTGAATTACTGCGCTAAAAATATCTTTTCCTTGTCTCTTTGATAATACTTGTTTTTTTTTTTTTGGAGGGGGGTTCAATTTTTTTTTCTTTCAACATACAAGAATTTTCAATTTAAAAAAATCACAGTTTCCCTTCAATAAATAAAACATCCATTAACCGGTAATATTTACATTATCGAAAGTGCTGAGTTCAGAAGGAATCAATTTCAACAGGTAGAAATATTTTCTATATTTTCTATAAAGAAAGACATAATTCAAAAAGAGAGAAAATATACCTGTGCGTTCAAAGAAGAAAAAAAGGTTTTGTTGTTAGGAATTGTATGTGTAAAAATAAAGGTTTATTGCTCGGCCGCACACCGAATGAAATTTTTCACCAGCGGGGATGAGTTTCGTGTTAGCCCTGCTAAGAGAAAGAGTTTTAATGGACCATCCTTTCATAGTATTGAACAGCGCCACCTAGCGGATGTTTTGGCAGACAAGGTGGAGATAATCACCCTAATACTCGATCACAATCATTTAAAAAACGCTATCACTTCATATTTATCTATAATTTATATTTGACATTCATGTGGACTGAATACGAGGGTATATTGTAAACTTCATAGGCGCTAATGTAGCAACCATGTCAGTATGAATTTACTAGGGGGCTAAACCCTTTTTTTAAGGTATTTGATAAAAAAAAAACCGATGCCAAATTCTGTCCATTTTTAAGAGGAATCACTCTAAGCTACTTTTGAGCCGTCTTTTCGCAATCAAATGTCAGTTTATCTGAAAAGAAATAATGCTGTTATTAATAAGAAGAGTTGAAATTAATGCATGCAAGATTTCACAGCTCGAGTACCACTCCTTCATAGTCAGCCCATGGACTTTTCAGCACCACCTTGTACTAAAGGAAAGTTATAAGACATTAAGTATCCTTGTAAGCCAAATATTAACAACATTTTATGTATAAAGCAAAAAGAAAAACTTATCTTAGCCAACGCGTTTAGTCATCTGAGGGAGTTTATCAAGGTAGATGCAATAATTTTATGGTGTGACAAGTATTTATATACAGGAACAAATGTTTGTTTGTTTGTTTTAATTTAAGAACGCTCATAAGTAATCATCATGTTAGCCAAAAGGTCGAGGCAAGCTATGGAGGACGCCGAGTCACACAATTCAATATCTGGGTAAATAGGGTACAAAAAGACAATATTTATAAATGTAAAAGACAATAGGAAAACTGTAATAGTTGCCGACGCGTTTCGTCCGATGTGGACTTTCTCAAGGCAAAACGAAATGAATTTATTAAACAAAGTAACTAATAATAACAAAACAAAATGTCCTTAGTAACTGGAAGAATTTAGAGAACGCTATTTTCATACTGTTAACTGAAATTACGTCAATTACTGTCACGTGTGGAGATATTGTTTTTATTGCTGTGTTGGCGGATTCAACCATTTTCTTTTGATTTCTTGATACTGTTCTGTAAGTTTGTTTGGGAGATAAGTAATTCTGTTAAGAAAGGTGAAATAGGAAAAAAACCTGGGCGTAGATTAATATTTGAGTAATATTCAATGGCGGCACTCTCGGGGATTTTCCTTCTGAGTGAGTTATTTTCTTTTTTATGAGTGTAGCATTTTTAAATTCAAAATTGTGGTTGAATTTATTTCTATGTATGACTAGTGCATTAGCTAAGTTGTTTTTATGAGGTCTCTTTTGTGCTCATAAATGCGTTTTTTCAAACTTCTACTTGTTTCTCCAATATATTGTGAGGGACAGTTTTGGCAATTTATTTCATAAATGCCTGCTTCAGAAATATTATTACTATTAATGTTTAAGGATCTGAGTATATCCATTATGGTTTTGGAAGTGTTTGTGACTATTTTAAGATTATTTAGATGGGATATGTTGTTCTGATATATATATATATATATATATATATATATATATATATATATATATATATTCGTTTCTGAGTACACTCGTCCGCTAGGACGACCAGGTAATCACTGCTGCAAGCTCATCTCATTTGAGTTACTTCAACATCCACATGACCAAAATTCGGTTTATACTTCAACTAGGCTGAGCAGACCTTGGTTACAGTTTCTGGGAGCCACAGCGTAATCTGCCGGCATAAACGTTTACAACAATGCCATATACTCAAATCCTTATTGTAATCACTCCACAAGTCTATATACATAAAACAAATAACTCTCTACCTTTCCTCGATATCCTATTAATACGAAATTATAATAAAATAGATTTTAAAATTTGCCGAAACTCACTAACAAAAATGACTTTATCAATTTCTATTCCCACCACAACTGGAGAATAAAATCTGAAATAATTATAGGATTTTACCTTAGAGATCACTTAGGATATGTAAACCTGAACACATTAGTGAAGAAGAGGACTATATTGAGAACACATTCAAACATCTACACCACCTATACCATTTCATCTTAAACGCAAAAAACTAGCTCACAAAATCCATAAAACCAAACAAATACTTCCAATAAAAATTATACAAAATTTATAATCCTACCCTCCAATACTTTAACATAGTAGTGAGTTAACTGAGAAGTGTTCCATTTAATAATGGCAGGATATTTTTTATCGTGAGCAGGCAGATATCATTTTTACATACGTCCGCGCGAATGGTAATGGAGAAGAGGCTGCACGACTGTATCAGATTACGTTTCCAGACCAAAGGTAACCGAGTCATTCAACCTTTGTTGCTGTTTATCGCCACGTTGCTGAAACAGGATTCGTGGCATCACAGTCTATGATAATAAGTATATTAAACAATCTGTGGCCTCTGAGTGGAGTGTTCATATATATATATATATATATATATATATATATATTTATAGAGAGAGAGAGAGAGAGTTGAGTCATTCGAGGTTTTTCAAGCGAGTAATACTCTTAATATATATATATATATATATATATATATATATATATATATATATATATATATATATATATATATATATATATATATATATATATATATATATATATATATATTTAGTTGGATAGATGTGAGTTTGTGACCCTAGGTTTCAACGCTTTTATGATCGTCAGACAAACTCTGAACGGGTTTGTTTGACGATCGACGTGAACCCAGGTCATAAACTCCACATCTATCCAACCAAAATATGTTAGCTCTATCTCTGATATTGAGCGCTTTTAATAAATAATTGTATATAATATATAAATAATTATACATATATATATATTTATTTATATTTATATTCACTTTTCACATATATATATATATATATATATATATATATATATATATATATATATATATATATAAGGGTATCTTGTTGTTAATTGTTATTCATTTCTTTTCATGCTATAACAACAAGCTCCTTGAAAATGGCTAAAGTAGTGGCCGAAACCGCATTGGACGATAGACACTACGGACAATTTTGACCCCTCTTAAATCCACCAAATAGAAAGATTTAAGAATACTAGAAAATCTCAATAAAATCTATCAACTTGTTTGTCATATTCAACGATATATATATATATATATATATATATATATATATTATTAACAGTATTACTCGCTTGAAAAACTTCGGATGACTCAACTTGTAGACACCTGAGGGCAATTTGGTACCCGAGGAAAAAATTGGAAGTAAAAAAAGAAAGAACTAAAAACATCAGAACAATGCGAAAAAAATCGGCAAGTGTCTTAAGTCCTTAGGCCAAAGAAAAAAAAACAAGCGAATATAAAGACAGGGAAAACGTAGAGGGCTCAATACGCTAAGTAGAGCGATAAATTAGAATAAATCCTAACAAGTCAAGCTACCTACCTAGGTTTCACCTAAACGGATCTTCAGAGTAGACTGGCTATATATATATATATATATATATATATA